ATACTTGTAAATGTATTATGCTCTGGGTACTTTATATTATGGTTGAATTTTAAATTGGCCAAATATTTTTTTTAAAAAAATGGTTAGCCACTTAGGTGGTTCTATGTGACATTCTAATCATTTGGACTTCGAGTCAGATTGGAATAGGGTGTTACATAAACAATGTAATTTAAGCATTTGACTTTTATTTAAGAAGTTTAGATACAATTTTTTAAAAATACATCTAGAAAATTACATTATCACATTAATAAGAAAAATGCATCCAAACTTAAATAAAAAATAATCGAAACAATTCTTAACTTTTAATAATGTATTAAATAATTTATATGGTATAAATTCAATTTTTTTATTATATAACACTAAAAATAATATTTAATTTATTTATACCAATTGTATTTTCAATTGAACGAATATGAAAAAAATTATTTTAATTAAAATTAACAGTCAAATATAAAATTAGTTATAATTAAAGGGTCAAATGAGATATTTTCTATCAATTTAACATGCCTCATAACCTTTTTAATAATAGATAGTGATGTTTTGCCCATTTTATAACAAAAAATCTAAAGTTTAATGTCCATTATATAACTTTTGAAAATTTGATGTCTAAAATGATCATTTTGATATAGTTTAATGTTCATTTATAAATTTTACCCTATAAAATTAGCTATGGATACCAATTTTACATTCATTCTATAATTTTCCATGTTAGATGATAAAATACACCCGTATGATTAAGGGTCAGCTTGACATAGTTTTTGAAAAATGATGTTTAAAAGTAATGTAGAAACGAATTTTTAAAAGTATTGTAAAAAAGTGTAGATAAAAATTTAATTGTTTGAGACTACTGTTAAAAAATAAATTTGAAAATATAAAATCTATATTATATACATTATGTTATAAATAAAAATATAGCATTTAAATTATTTTACATTTATATTTGAATCATATCAATTTAAACTATAACAAAAATATTAAATACTTATAAATATATAATTATAATAAAAATATATTTTATATAACCCACTATTAATATTTTAATATATAAATTATATTTATTTTTAAATAAATAAAGTAAATTATTAAAAGTAATAAATTACATTTTGAAGGATATTATTATTAATTTATTAAAATAAAATGTAAATATATAATTGAGTGAAACCCATGCATTAGTTAGGTAAACTTATAATTTAATTTCAAACACAGATTTAAAAATGAAAAGACTAGAAATCATAGCTTTTAAAGGTCCATTTAGCAATGATTTATAAAAGCATTTTTATCTTAAAAAAGAGTTTTGACCGCAAAATCAATGTCAAATAGGTAAAAGACTAAAAGAAATTATCGTGAAAATGATGGTTTCAAACCAACGGCAAAAGTTTTTATAGATTTTTCATTTTTAACTTTGCGTTTTGAAACAAATTATAATTTTACCCTTGCTAATGCATGGGTTCCACTCAATTATATATTTACATTTTATTTTTGTAATTTAACACTAATATCCTTAAAAATAATTTATTACTTTTAAAATTTTATTTTAATTATTTTAAAATTAAGAAAATTCATGATTTTTATATTAAAAATATTAATAGTGAGTTATATAAAATATAATTTTATTATAATTATATTTTATATTTTTATTATAGTTTAAATTTATATGATATTAAAGTTGGTATAAAACCCTTTGTGCTAAGGTTTTTCCTCTGCTTGTTAGTAGTTCTTTCTCTGCCGTCGGGAGTAGTTTTCTGGATTTGGCTCAGTTCTCTAGCTTTGCTAGTTTTGATTAGGTGTTTATTTTTTCTTTTTTCAGGGCCCCTTATGAGTGATATTTAGCGTGTCATGGAGAACCTTAATTTAGGAAAGGGGAGAAAGATGTTTTTAATTTCCCAACCCCAAATAGGTCTTCTCAAATCTCATTTGACTTCTGTTTGGTGGGGCATTTTTAACAGTATGAGCAATTAATTTTCAAGCGATGCGAGTTACTCTGGAAAATGTATGGCACCTGATTGGAGGCATCTCTATCATTGATTTTAAGGGAGGATCGCTATATGTTTCGGCTTTATCATGAGGTTGACGTTGACATGATTGTATCGGAAGCTCCTTGGTACTTTAATTCGTACCTACAAATTTTGTATCATCTAAAACCAGGTGAAGATCCTTGATTGGTGGTGCTGGATGTTGTGGATTATTGGGTCCTTATTAATGATCTGCCTATTGTCTATATTTCAGAGCATGTTGTGCAACAATTCAACAATTTTATTGGAAGCTTAATTGAGTATGATATTACTGTCTCGATGGGATATTCGGGTTGGCATTGACACTAGGAAGCCGCTGAAGAGGAAAAAAGAAATTAGCCTTGCCGAATAGTATGTTTACTTATGCCACTTTCCAATATGAAAAATTGAAATTTATTGTTTTTTGTGTGGTAAATTGGGACGTGGTGAGAAATTTTGCCCAATTCTTATACTTCGAGACGAAGGTCACCTGGTTCCTCAATGGAATGTGTCGCTGAAAGCTCCTCCGCCGAGACGGGGCAATCTAGCGAGTTGATGGTTGGGTGAGGATTGCATGGAAGACGTCCCTTCACAAATTTTGAAGGGTGTGGCTATAGACCTGAATAATGGTAAGAAGGAGGTAGTAGATCAGACAAAAGTGTGGGTTGAACGTACTTTTAAACAGATGGGAGGAAGTATAGCACAAGTTGACGAATCTGATATTATTATGACTTCGGTAGAGGAAACAAATCATTTGCATAAAAAGGACAAAGTGAAGCGATAACAGAATATTCCAGCAGCTCCAAAGGTGCAAGTTGAGAATGTGTCAAGAAATATTGAGATATTGGCAAGCCTGTGTCCGCAGGCTAGCTGGATGCAATGAAACTCCTAAGTTGGAACGCTTGGGGATTGGGGATGCCGCAGACTATTCGTCGTCTCCGAAATTTGTTGAGAGACGTAAATCCTTATGTAGTTTCCTTTATGAAGATGAAACTACATAATTCGCAAATGGAGAAGGTTCGTAAGTCTTGGGGGGGTTTTGAATGGTATTGAGGTAGAGCACCTAGGGACTCGGGGTTTTAGTTTGGACTGGAAAAGAGGTATTGATGTTGTTCTGAGATCTGCATTTCTTTCTCCCATTGACGTAGTGATTTCGGATGCTGAAGATGGTAAATGATGGAGATGTACAAGTTTCTATGATGCTCCAAAATAAGGTCATTGCCGTGAGGGGGATCTCCTGCGACGTTTAAGTGATGGAATTGATCTTTTGTGACTTATGTGATTTCAATAAAATCATGTTTTCGTTGGAGAAACAAGGGGGTTCGGTGCGTAGTGAAAGACAAATGAGTGATTTCTATATAGTAATTGAGAAATGTGAATTGGTTGACATTGGCTTTACGGGGTCCTAGTTTACTTGGGAGAGAAGTCGACGTGAGGAAACTAATATTAGGGAGCGACTTGATAGGGGTCTCACAAATAATGCCTGGATGTAGTCGTTTTCCAATTATTCTCTTCATCACATGCTTCATAGCGTTTCTGACCATTGCCCTTTATTGCTCAATATGAGGGCTATGGACTTGCAACAACGAAGATGACACTTCAAGTTTGAGGCATCGTGGTTATTGGAAGATTCCTAGAAGGGAAAGGTTATTTGGTTGTGGTCGGAAGCGCTTGGTCTGGTCCCTGATAAGTTAAACCATGTCTGTCGTGGTTTGGATGCATGGTTTAAAAATACTTGTCGAATGAACCGATTAACTACAGATGATCTGAGAAAGCATGTAGCCGATTTAATGGAGCTTGCCTCATCAGATGAAACTCTAGGTGAAATTGTGGATGTCAAGTTTCGTCTAAATTTGAAAGTGGATAAAAAGGAGTTGTATTGGGAACAAAGGGGGAGGGCTAATTGCTTGAAAAATGGAGATAATAATACAATTTATTTACATAGGTTCTCTTCGCATAGAAAACAAAGAAATAAAATTGATTGTCTTGAGGATGATAATGGAGACCGTGTTGATAGTGAGTTGGGAATACGATCGCTCGCAAATGAGTATTTTCAGCTTTTATTTATGTCAAACTTTTCTATTATGGATCATACGGTTTTGGATGGTATAACACTATGTGTTACTGGCAGTATGAATGCCTCTTTGCTTAAGGAGTTTTTTTACGAGGTTACAAACGATGTTAAATCAATGTTCCTGTTAAAAGCCTTGGGAGAGGATGATCTTGGAGCGTTATTTTACCAACATTTTTTGCATGTGATAAAACTGGAGATTTCCGGGTTCTGCATTAGGATTTTGAGTGGACATTTTGATATGAAGACAATAAACCAGACGTATATAGTGCTTATTCTGAAAGTTGAAGACCCAAAGAGGCTAAGCCAATTTAGACCCATCAATCTATGCAATGTTTTGTTAAAGATAATCTCTTGATGTTTGCATTGATGAAGCCCAAAGCGCCTTTGTACCGGGCCATTTAATAACGGATAACTTATGAAGTGATGGATAGTTTCTTGGAGATGCGAGATGGACGTAAAGATTATTTTACTTTGAAACTCGATATGAGCAAAGCTTATGATCAAGTGGAGTGGCATTTTATTTGGCCTGTCATGGAAAAGATGAGGTTCGCTTAGGAGTGGATTGACCACATTAAGAACTGTGTTTCAACAGTATCTTATTCAATTGTTCTCAATGGGGTTACAGGTGAACAATTTTCTCCAAAAAAGGGGCTTAGACAAGGTGACCCACTAAGTCCGTATCTTTTTTTCATTTGAACTGAGGGTCTTTATGTGCTTTTATGGAAAGCCCTTTTTTCGAGGGACCTCAAGGGAGTTGAGATTAATAGAGCATCGTCTTTTTATTTCTCACCTCCTCTTTGCGGACGACAACCTCATCTTTGGGGAAGCAAATGCTCAAGTAGCACTCCAGATTAAGGAAATTCTTTGAGTTTGTAGTGATAGCTTGGGTTAAGCCATTAATTTGGATAAGTCGAGGATTTATTTTCAGTTTAAATATGCTAGATACAAATAGAAGCGATGTGCGTCAAATTCTAGAGGTATCAAACGAAAAAAATCCTGAGAAATACCTTGGTCTTCCTTCAATAGTTGAAAGAAATAAGAAGGGGGCTTTTGTACATTTGTTTGATAATTTTCGAAGCCATATAAGGAATTGGTCCGTGAAGGCTTTTTCTCAAGGAGGTCCTTATCAAGTTCGTGCTCCAAGCTATTCCTTTATTCTCTATGAACTACTTGCTTCTCCCTTAGACCCTTTGTTTGGAATTAAAAAGTATAATGGCCAACTTCTTTTGCCAAAAGTTAGAGAACAAAAGGGGAATTCACTGGTGTTCTTGGAATGCCCTTTGGCAGTCAAAAGAAAATTGTGGTTTGGGTTTCGATATCTAGCAAAGTTTAACATCGCTTTGTTGGCAAAATATGGTTGGTGGCTTCTTATTTATCCTACTTCGTTTTTCGATCGTCTTTACCGTGCAAAGTATTATCCGACGGGGGACTTCTTGAGTTCTAGCGTTGGAGCTGCCTCGTCCACATTTGACGTAGTATTTGGTGTGCTAAGGGTCTTCTTTTGAAAGGGATGAGGTGGAAGGTTGGGATGGGCACCTCCATCTCAATCTAGAATGATTTAGCGTAACCGGTAAATCCTCCAAAATTGGTTGCTTCGGCTAGGAATGAAACGATTGGTCAGGTGGCAGACTTGATTGACACCAATTCGAGAGCTTAGAACCTTGATATGGTTGCTGAGATGTTCAATGCTGAGGATGTAGATTTGATTGCTAGAATTCCACTTTCTCAGTTTCCCCAAGAAGATTGTCGGGTTTGGGGAGGTGAGAAATCGGGACTGTACACCGTTCGTACTGGATATCATTTGTTATTGGATGGGGTTGTAGTCTCACAACAAGATAAAGTCGTTTTTAGCAAAATTTAGGCTTGCTCGTGTCAATGAAAAATAAAGATTCATGTTTAGAAATCCGCGTGTAATTACATCCCGTCTAAGCGTAATTTATTTAACAAACGTATCATGCACCCAATGTGCTCAAATAGTGATGATGTAGTGGAGTCAGGCAGCCATATTGCTCGTGATTGTGCTTGTAACCCCCACAGACCGATAAGGGTAACTAGATCCGATCTGGGGTGTTACATTTGGGCCATCGGAGCGACCCACTGTAAAAATAGCGGAAAATTTAAAACTTTTTAAATTATATGTAAACTAATAAAATCAGTTGTCACTATTTAAAAATAAAACAGATTTCCAGACTCGTATATAAATCAAAATACAATTACATGCCCCCTAATCACATGTACCATACTCTGCAACAACGCCGAAAAAACTCCCTTACTGAAGTCGATAGATGCACTGGTACAATTCTTTTAACCTGAAAAGGTGAGTAATAGAGTGAGCTTCGAAAAGCTCAGTAATACAGAACTACCAGATAATGCTGAAGAACGTGCAGATACATATAAACATACATATCATTATTATTTCCGAACATTTATAGATTTTTATGATGAGCAGAGATTCTACTGATATTTCAGATAGTAACGGACAATGAACTTTCAGTTCAGACAAATATTTCGGATGACTGAGTTCAGGAGATCAGAATAGGTTACTAGTGTGTTCCCAAAAACCATGTAACTTTTCAGATCTTTTTAAAACATATATATATATATATACCCCCATCCCAACACATCATAATATGTAGGTTCCCCAGAACCATACACCCAACCCAACACATCATATAAGGCCCTGAGCACAAAGCCGAGGAACCTGCGAAATCAGGTCAAGTATCATATAAGAAATCAGGTTAAGTAACAGATCAGAATCCAAGTCAAGTATCAGATCAGAATCCATGTCAGATATCAGATCAGAATCCATGTCAAGTATCAGATCAGAATTCAAATCGAAAATCAGATAAAATATTCATGTGAGTAGGAAACACGCCAGAGTTTACAGGTATTATTTAGAGGTACTGTATCAGGCAGAGAAACACAGTTCTTCAGTATGTCGATAGAATGTTGGAATTTAGAATCACTATTGGAAGAGTTCATTAACTGACAGAATAATCAGTTATTCAGAATGTGAATTATCAGGATATTATCTTATTCGGACAGTTTTCAGAAGCCGTACGTAATCAGAAGGGTATTCAGAATCCTATACATCCATGTCAATTGATCGAATAATCGAACAACTTGAGAACAAAGATTCAGAACCTTAAAAATCTATGTCGACTAGTCAATTCATTTTCCTTCTAAGGTATTTACTCTTTAATACCACAAATTCTTGTCCGTAGACCATTTTCAGAATCATCGCTGAATAAATCTTCCAATGTCTTTATTTCATTTCCACGTTTCCACAATATCATGGAATGCTGACGTACTTGATTAATTTGTTCATAACACATTGTAATTGTAAACTACATAAACTCATCATAGTTTCCAGACTTATCCAAATCACTTATTTAAATCCTCAGTCATTGAGGTTACCTAGTTCATTTAGCAGTCATGTCCATTCCAGTTACTTCAGGATTTTCCAGAGTAATTCAAACGTTCCTGAATTTCAGATACATGTTGTACTTCCATTCCATTCAATTGGTCTTTGTGGTTGATTTGTCGAACAAACGTCCAATTCTTAGTACTGAATACGATCTAGAGCTGAGCTGAATACTTCCAAAATTTATCATCGAGCCAAACTTGAGAAGACGAATACATGTTCCAGTAATATCTATGCCATTCAGGTATTGACATAGCTTTAGGGTTGATCTACTCACTTAAACTATTTCCCATTACCTTTAAAGGTAGTCCAATACCTATGCTTACTTGGATTCCTTAATTAATCAAAGACATTTACTTAATATAGGCCATAAGGGTATTTTGGTAATTTTGGTATTCATTTTTATTCCATTTATTTCAGAGCTCGAAGATATCCAATCATTCTTGAGCTTGGTGGTATTCTTGGGTCATTTCCATTACAGGGGTATTTTGGTCATTTTACAGATCTACGGTATTTCAATCTTTTCCTGCCATCCGGTCTTATTATTTAATTCAATCTTATCATTTACTTCAGTCCTTTCGAACAATTCTGACAGCAGAATACCCCCGATAAATTATTCTTCAAGTATTTACTCATTATTCGAATATTTACGGGTCAAGTGTCTTCTCAGATTTTACAAACGGAATATCACGAATTTTCCTGCACTAAGTCAGGATCTTAACAATTAAATCCGTACTTAATCGAGTTAAGTACGAATCCCCTGAGTATTTTCTCATTCAGAGTCAACTCAGATTATTCTACCTCTTAAGGGCATTTCCATAATTTCTTAACCATATAATTTCGATATTAGCTCTTAACGAAAATAATATAATTTAGAGATCCAATGATTAATTGCTTTCTTGAATACTCTCTGATCTTGAAACGGTTCTCTTAACAAACTTCTAGTATCCTTCACAAACTCTCATAGGATTAAAACCGATTATCCATAATTTCCAAATAAAACTAACATTTCTTATGCACATCAATATTTTTATTAGATCAATATGTCTGTAAAATCCTTTTATCTAACTTCCATATTCAAATCTTGTCTTTTTATAACATAAGGGTATTTTCGTAATTTTACCCTACCGGAGTATTCTCATAATTTCTCATCCAAGTACCTTTAACATTTAACATTTGATGAAATAAATTATAAGTTGCAAATACATGGCTGATTTCTTTATCACTAATCACAAATTTGTAATTTAATCTAACAATTCCTCAATCTCTTATATTAGTCATTCGACCCGTAATCAGTTACAGAATTTCTACCACATCATATCGAGTGTATAAATTATTCAACTCCACGAAAGTGACCAACATTATCTTGTTCATGCATTTATCAATATAAACATGTTCCATAAAGCATAAAGAGGTAGTAAAGTATTACCTCGATTTCCGTGCAATACTGATCAACCATAAAAAATTACATTCGAACGCCTTTGATCTTCAATTCAACTTCCAATAATTCCTCAGATACATATCAACATAAATTATATCAGAAACGGAGTTTAATTGCGATAAACGGATAGAATCGGGTGATAAATCAGTGAACGACAACTTACTGGGTTCGAATTTGGCAAAACAGACTTCGAATTCGGATTCAGGACGTCGAAAGTATAAAATATGACTTTTCGGAAATTTGGAATTTTCGGTCAAAATCAAAGTCAACGGATTTGACCGGTAATTTCGAGGCCTTCGGGTTCGAATTTCGAAAAACGAATTGCGGAATTGGATTTGGAACGTCGAAAGATGTCAGGATAGATATACTCGGTCAAAGTCAAATGTCGTTTAATGCCCGGTCAAAGCCAGTCAAAGTTTTGGTCAACATTGGTCAACGCCGATCAACGGTCAACGGGTCGGGTCGGGTCGTGACCGGTCAAATCGGTCAAATGGGTTACAAAACCGGTCATTTTTCTTTCCACACGCGCAGTGGCGGCGCGTGAACAATGCTAAATTCCCGGAAAAATTTCTAAAAATTATTTTGAGCGATTTCGAGATACTTACAAAGTTCGGTTCAAATTTTTGAACGGCGGAGAGCTCGATTTCAACGAATCAAAAACTTTGACCGCTTCACCTCCACACGCGCCGCCGCCGCCGTAGAAAAGGGAGGACACCGGTGGACTCGGAATGGCATAAGGAACACGATGGTGCGGGAGGTGTCGTAAACGGATGACCCGATCGTCGTGAATCGATGAAAAACCAACTAAAATCGAGTTATTACCGACGATACTTCCGACTGAAATTAACGATGAACGACGACGATTCACGACGAAAAGTTTAAGGGGTTTTGTTCCTCGGTTGACAACGAACACGATGGTGGTTTCGGCTCGTCGATCGGAGGTCGGACGGCGAGTAGATCGGAGTTCAAAGAGAGGTTGATGAAGAGGAAAATCTGGAAAAATTTCTCCAGAAAACATACGGGGAGAGATTTATAATTCTATCCAAAATAAAAATGGGTAAATCATAGGTTTAGCCACTGAATTTCTTACACTTCTTTAAGCGGTTTGCAAACTTTAAACTTTTTCAATTTAACCAACTATTTCTTTCAAAATATCAAATTAAATCCACCACTTTATAATTTCTTTATTTTTAACCCCTAAATTGGGGTGTTACAGTGCTCTTGCCTCGTTAGTGTGGGTTTGTTTAAATTATAATTGGCCTCCTAATATTGTTAATGTTTCTCTGATAGAATGGTTAGAGTGGTTATTTTAATTTTATCCCATTATTAAACATGCTGAGATTGTGACTTTTATTTGGGCATTTTGGTGTGTAAGAAATAAACATTACTAAGGGGTTGTTTTTGAAGGCGGAAGACATTGTGGCTCTGGTTCAATCTCAATGCTCAGATTTCTCCTCGGCCAACTCGAGACTTCGGGGTCCATCTCGACCTGTCCAGTCTCGTTGGAAACCCCTCATTGCTCCGGCGGTAAAAGTAAACTATGATGCACGATTCTCTCAATCATAAAAACATTCTGGTCAGGTATTGTTATTCAAAACAATTAAGGCTTTATAATGGGTGCTTGTCAAAGGAGAGTTTCT